CGGCAAAGACGGTCTTCTCCTTATCACCTATATTAGTCACCTGCCAATATCCACGACAGAAACACCAACAGAGATAGGTATACCAGAATACAAAGAACTGAACAAGACCATTACCAAAAAGAACGAGAAAAGACATCCGAAACCACAACACTAAACTAATTGAAAATGCTATAGAGGCGAACGCAAATATGTTCCAAAATCGAAAATAATGTCCACGGGAAAACACAGAATGACCAAAATAAGAGACCAACAGGGTAATTCAATCCCAGACAACAAGGGCATTGTTGAGCATATGCATGCATTCTACACTCGACTTTATACTTCCATCGCAACCAATACAATAGCTTCAAACACAGCAGCAGCAACATCAAATACTATCTGCAACACTGGGTCAGAAGACATCCCTGATATAACAAAGCAAGAGATACGTACAGCACTAAAACAAATGAAAAACAGGAAAAGTCCAGGGGAAGACAGAATCACCTGTGAGATGCTGAAAATGGGTGGAAGCATTGTGGAGGAAACACTGCAAATAGTTCTCAAAAAATACCCCATTGAGGGAATAATACCTGACACGTGGCATAACGCAGAAGTACCTAGTTCTACTTTTCAAGAAAGGTGATAACATCGACATAGGGAACTACCGACCAATCAGCCTTTCATCACACCTATATGAGCTTTTTACTAAGATTATCACTAACAGACTCACCAACAGGCTAGAAGCCCACCAACCAGTAGCACAGGCGGGGTTTCGAAAGGGATATAGCACCGTCGACCACCTCCAGGCAGCAAGAGCAGTAATAGAAAAGACAGCTGAAAATAACATACCACTACACTAACATATTACTACACGTAGATTTTCGTGGGGCATTTGACTCCATTAAGATAATATTGGCTTTCCTGCAAGCCATGGACGATGCTAGAATTGATTCCCGATATACAAAACCCCTTAAATACATACATGAAAATGCCACCTTTCATATCAAAATAAATGAAAACCTGGCAACAGATAAAATAGGAATTAGGGAAGGCGGGCGCCCAGGGAGACACCATATCTCCCAAACTGTTTACCTTGAAGTTAGAGAACATTCATTGGGAGGCTAAAGGTATCAATGTGAACTGAATTTTTCTAAACCACCTAAAATTCGCCGACAATATCGTCCTCATAAGATATGTTAAGTCAACTGAATGAAGTGCCGAGAAAAGTCGGCCAAAGAATGAACCTTTCTAAAACCAAGATAATCAGCGATATGGAAGATATTGTAACAATTGACGATAAAACTTTAGAAAACGACGATGCATATGTCTACTTAGGACATACTATCAAAATTGACAAAGAGAACTTAACTTTGTAGCATTGCAAATGCTACTTGTTCCTTTTTCTGAAATATAATTTTATAAGTTAAATTATTACGTTTAATGTTGACAGTCTGGTGACTAGCAGTAAAAAAACATGATTTCTGTCGAAAATAATAATAGCAATTATTAACCTAAAGGGCACGCTTTTAGTTTAAATTCGAAGTACCAGTTTGGTACCAACATTTTCCGTTGGATATTTTTTGAAAGAAATCTCTGCTTGTTCAGCTCTTCGTGTCTTTTGAATTTTGCCCTGACGACTCTAGCCTGGAGTCATCTTCTCCAATTATGATTACCGTTCTCGTGAAGAAAAGTACCTTAGCGGCCATCAGGTATTTGTTTGGTGGAATAAAGTTGTGCAAGGCAAAGCTCCGTGGATTACCGAAAAAATATGAATCAAAAAGTCTCGCGAATACCGTTTTATTCAAGTTTGAATTTCGAACTCCCTCGTGGTAAGTCCTTTTTTATTTATTTTTCAAGTAATGCTTGTTCATGGAATACCTCTATTACTTAGGGTTTTCCGAGGAGCCGTTTTTCCGAGGAGCAATTTTTTTCGAAGTAACTGTTTCCAACAAGCCACATTTCTTAAGATCACCATTTTCGGGGAGGGTTTTCCTAGAGGAATCAAGTCCCTCGCGTGTTGACACCTGCACAAATTTGACGAAAAGTGTGAACTTCTAGCCTCTATCTACCTTGATTCAAGGCTAGAATCTGCAACTTTCCTGGTCAAGCGACAGAAAATGGATGGCTACCGTACTCTAGCTTTTTGTCGGACTTGAGGCTTGTATAGAGTTTCATTTATAACTTTTATTACCTTTATTTTTATGAAATCTACTTTATCATCAATTAACAAAATAATTGATTTTTTTTTCCTGATTATGATATTTAAATAGGTAGGTATTTAATATTTCAATTTCACATTCTTGACATCGAAGTGAACTTTAAATAATTATTTCCGTTTTTGATGTAACGAATTTATTATAGATTTATCTTTACTTCACTTTTGGTACCGCCCTGTTTAGAAAAATGTATATTTTATTAGTCCTAATCATTAATCTGAACTGAGGTCAAAGTTGAACAACATGTTCTAAATTTAAAATTATTGGGAAAGTACCTATAATGTCAAAAATTGATCAATTTTTCACTTGGGCTCTATAACTTATATACTTGAGGATTTCGGTTATATCTCCTTTATACCTTCAACGTTTAACCTTTGATTTCATACAGTTTTAATTTGATTTTAGTGATTTTATTTTTCTGGCAGCAGCTGACCATATTTATCCATATAATATTATAATTTTCAATCATTAATTATTATTTTTTTTTTCAAATTAATATTCTGGAAACTCAAATCCTTCATATTTTTATTTCAAATTGATAATATGGACAGCGACTGCTAATGAACTTATATGGCAAGTATATTAAGGTACATTGTAATATTATCTATTTTAAAAATTTGATGAATCTGATTGAGAGATAACCTCTATTTATTGTTTTACCAACAATTGATTTTCTCTTTTGAAATTATTTAATTCTTGATTTTTAACCTCACTGTGAAAATATATAAGTACTATTTTGATTTGAAAATTGCCCGAGTGTTTTATTGGTTTACCTATGTCAAGATTTGGTTGAGTTGTAAGCCTTATTTTTTTCCCTTTCAGAATTATCAACTACCGTTTGCTACTTATTTTTTTTAGGTGTATTTCTGAATTTTCACACTTCAATATTTTTTGTAATTTAATTTTTTTTTTACAAATTCATTGGCGCCCTTGCCATTCTGTACTTATTAAACTATTGACCCACCCCTAATAATAATTCGCTGAGCACCCTGAGTATATTATGGGCCTCCTGTTAATTTGTTAACAAAAGGGGTTTACAACTGCTGGAATAAAACGTAGGAAAAGACTTGCATGGGCAGCTTTTGGCAAGCTGACCTATATACTGAAAAATAGAGATATACCAATAAACTTAAAGGGGAATGTTTCCGATACATGTATACTGTCGCGGTAGCAACATACGGTTTGGAAACAATGGATGCCAATAACAAAAAGAAGTGCTGAAGAGTTGAGAGTGATGCGAAGGGCAATGGAGAGCATAATACTTGGAATCAGTCAAAGAGATATGATCAGGAATGAGAAAATCTGACGAAGAGCTGAAGCCGTGGATATCATGAAACGTAAGTCGGAAAGCCAATGGCAGTGGGTGAGGCATGTGGCCAGACAGAACCAGGACAGTTGGACAGCTTGAGTTTGGCGAACAAGACAGACCAAACGTAGCGCGGGCAAACCCCAGACAAGGTGGCTGAACGATATCAAACAGTTTATGGGGAAAAGATGGTTCTAAAGAGCACAAGACAAAAAGGCATGAAAGAGGTCTACGTTCAGGAGTGGACAAATTAAGGCTGAAGAAGAAAAAGAAGAAGAAAAATATCCACTTTTTAGGACCAGAGCTGGCAACAACTTTTGAGCCTGGTAGGATGCTAAAGGTATCGTGAATCCGTGATATTGGGTAGTTGCCTTCCTCTCTAACGTCGTTTAGCCTTTTGCAATCAATAGAGAGCCTTGTGGAATCATTTTCTGTGATAACTAGTACGAATATCAGATTTGACATGATCATTCATTATTTTTTAAAGCATGATGTTAATTTGGTGGCGATTACTTGAAACAAATTTGTTTTAGTCAATCATTATCCGGCAAACCTACAACTTCAATTATTCTTTAATATATTTTTCATAAATGTCACTGAAGCGAAAAATCACATTGTTCTGCACTTTACTTACTGATAGAGCAACTGAAAGTAAATTGTAAAACTGCTTTGTTTGAATGGTTCTGATTTGAGCTCAAACAAAGCGTGGAACTATTTTGAATACAAATCATGAATCTATCTCAAGCAACATTATTTAATAATCAAAGATCAATTATATTTTAAAATTCTAGAATTATTTTCATTAAGTCTTTAATTCCTGTAGCTCAAAAAAAAAAAAATAGAAAAAAAGACGGATCAATAGGGTTGAATAATGAGAGCCCAACTTAAAGTTGAGGCAGCTGTTCAAACAGTTTTCGTTTCCAGGAGTTTTTTTCTTTTCCAATCTTCTTGCGCAATGGAAAAAAAAAATGAAAGATGTAAGGACAATGCAGATGTAATCATTTAGTAAATTATCAAAATTTGAAAACGAATAAAATCCAAAGACTTATAAATTTATCTAAATATACCATACTACATCGGAGAAATATGGCGGTATTTAACAAAAAAGGTTAACAAGAAGTGAACAGGTAATTTGTAGGGCATTTGCGAAAAATTATTAGTTGTATAACTCATTATTATGTGAATATTATTAGAAAACTGTACATTTTTGGACCAACTATAAGAGAAGCACGTGTAAAATTTATGTTTCCTTTTAAAATTATTTTCAAAGCATGATGACAAATAATGCGATAAATAGGATCATTCCAGCATACCAACAATAAAACTTTCTTGTATGTAATAACCATATATTCTCACTAATGGCCTATATTTTTGCCAAAAGAAAGACTCAAAAATCCACCTTTTGTTAGTATGAAAAGTCCATTTGTTGGAGATAATATAATTTATTCTTGTCGGCAATATGAATATTCACAGAAATTATATTATAGATAAATACCAACCTGTAGTCATTGCCTTCCCCAAGCTGTCGCACAGTTATAGGAAATTCATAAGGGCCATGAGCTTTAAGCAATTCTTGAAGTCGGACGAGCCCTTCGTTGTTTTCATAAATTATCGTAAAAGATTTCCATCCCCAAGCTTTAACCAGATCAACGTAGGCCTGAAAATATAAATAAATAATTATTAATAAAATGACAAAGCAAATTCAAATTTTAATTGCCAACAAAACCTTCTACTGGAAGTCCTACCGACACCGGGTCCGTAGCCTAAAGGGACGCGATGGCTGACGATCAATACTTGCCCGCTGATATAAAACCCGAATCCTGACACTTCAGCAATTTATACATTTGTATGGATGATTCTGCTTTCAGAGCAAACCATTTTGAGCGTTAAAATGCACGTCAATGCTATTAACAAGTGTTGGCAACTGGATTAAATGAAGCCAAATAATTATCAATTATCGAGAATCCCGACAGTTCGAATATACAGTTGGTTCGACCTCCAACAATATGCGTGCAACAACATTCGAGTTGTGGTCAATTCAAACGGACGACAAACAGCTTCTACACAGATTTTGCGACCCTTCGAGAAATACTTAGAATTATCTGATGATGCAACACCGATTATTCCGTGTAGCAAGAACGACCCACCCATTCACAGAAAAAATGAGCATGAGTTCGGTCGACGAAATGATTGAAATGAAGAAATATTCGAAGATAATTTGGAAAATATTCGCGGGAAGTAATCACTTTCCACTTTTTCATATCAGTACAATTAAGGCGCCCATCAGGCTTGTTTAACTATAAAATGTTTGCTATGCAAAGCCATCATGAATCCGACGCATTTTTGCAGAGATTATTCAACATTGCTAGACCATTCGATTTAATTACCAGCTGTTCATCGGAAAACATTTCTGGTCGTGGTTAAGGAGGTTTTACTGAGGGCGCCACGAAGTTTTTATTTATAAGGTCTCAAACCCCGGAATAGACCTCAATATTAAATCTGAAATATTATGTATAACACTTTATTATGTTTAATAAAAGTTTAGTGAAAAATTATAAAATCTAGGATGTCAATTTAATGAGAATCATAAATGTAAGAATAGTTCGATTCCAACCCAGTACCACCCTTAACTAAAATTTATTGCGTAAAATAATAATAATGATCGATCATCAGTGGCGACGCGTGACAAGCAGTCTGGGGGGGGGGGGTAAATGGTACAGGGGGTACCCCTCCCGCAAACGCGGTGCTGCCGTAGTTTTTTGCAAATTTCAAGGTCATTCACATTTCCCGAACAATTATTTCCTCTGTGAGAAAAAAAAAGACAAATAAAATGAATTTTCCTCGATATATTATGTATTTTCTTTTGAACATCGTGATTTTTCTCTTGATTATTGGATCCTGGGGGGTAATTACCCTCATTACATTCCCCAATGCGATGCCCCTGTCGATCATTTTATTTAAATTCGGACCTTTTCTACTGGTCTATCTGCCCTTAAAACTCATATGCTCAACCGGACAGTGAACTGAACATAGAAATGAGACTTTCCAATTATTAGGCAGTGCTCAATAAAAAATATTCAATATAAAATGACCTTGTTGGATCTATCTGCTCTGAAAATTCATATGCTGAGCCGAACAGCGAACTGAACATAGAAATGAGACATTCCAATTGGGTAATGGTCAATAAAAAAGATAATATAAAAGGTAAAATTTGAACCTAAAGAAACCTGTGGTCACGTCGGGATGTCATCAAGGACCTCAGAAGTAGGAGCACATGAAGTTTAGGTAATAAACATGCCTCTTTAAAGAATGGGACCAATACCAGGCGTGGATGTAGGACCCTATCAGAAAACTAAATTACAGATGATCTCTTTTTATTTAAAGAAAGGTGAAATAGATAAAAAACTTGTCTTTGAAGTTTATAATAAGACTCAAAAGTACATGACACCCTGAATAAGGCGCTCTCGTATACCATGATTTTGTACACAATACACGCTAGAGAAATAATCATAAACTTAAGGGATGTTCAAGATAGAAAAAGAATTGTCACATAGGTACCTGGCATGTTCCAAGAAAATCAGAAAAAAGGTGGCCGAGTCGAGGAATATTAGTATATTACCTAAAATTCCAGACGGAAAATGCTGGTCAAGAGGCAATTATTTCGACCCACAACAAACGTAAAAAAACTTTTCTCAAACAGTGGTACTTTTGGGTTAAACCCAAACGAACTGAATTTTGGTCGGCCTTTGGACGTTCACCATTTAGCACAGCAAAATTGCGTGTAGTGTTGATTATTGGTCTTAGATGGCGTCAAGATCAAGATTCGCTCTTCGTAGTTATTATTATAGTTTATCGAGAAGCGTAGCGTCGAGATTTACTTAACCTCGGGACTGCAGTGAAGTTTTACGTCGAGGTTTGTATACAATCTTATTTTCAACCCTCAATTTCTGAGTAAAAGATTTTATTGTACGAAATCCTTCATATCTTTTGATAGTGTAAAATTGGCCTTAGAAAAAAACAGCTTTCACTTTTTTCTTTCATAGAAAAACGAACAGAGCACGTTCGCCAAAAATCAAAAGGCCTCGCTGACATCACTGACGTCAACTTGCTTAATCAAACTGCCAAGGAAGAGTGCCTCGTTCTCAAGCAAGGTCGTGCGCAATTCAAATAACTGCAGAATGAAGCTAGCCGAAAAGGTGGCGTCAGCAACCGGAACGATTGGTATTATTCGGAAGGATATAGAGCTGGGCGAAAATCATTGAATAGAGATGGTATGGTGCCACCTGATTGGAAATAGTACTTACATAAAAATCAGGTTGACTCCTAATTACAATTTAAACCTGAAAATAGATATAAGTAAACTTGCTTGAATTACATTTCAACAATTAATATAAACAGCAATACCGGTGATTACAATTAAAAATACCCAAAATATAATAAATTTACGTACTCAAAATAATAATAAAATGACAAAGTAGCTCGATTGCTACAAATTCACCATATCGTCCTATATTTTTGCTGCCGATAATATGCAAGCTACTTAGTGCTGCTCTGACGTATCATTAAGGAAAGCTTACTTATTCCTTCTATTATAATTCGCTACTTGCTAATGCAGTAGTTGCTGAAATTATAATGATTATTAAACTTGGCAAAGCGCTTAAAGACGAATCACCATAGACACCATTCCTCTACTATAAATAATTCTTGCATTTAAGCTCTTTGAGAGGTTGCTCTAGCAACACAATGCGTCTCAATATTGGGAAAAGGCAGTTAATTTTGCCTTATCGTATTTGATTCCGAAACATTAACAGTGCAACACAGACTAAGTGCAATGTAGGTAGAGAGATCCATAGAACTGGAGTAAGAAAAAGAATAATAAAATTTAGAAAATCGTTTCAGTTTAAACAGTTACTGAAAGATTCTGAAAGAAACCATTTAAATTACCTCAACTTCAATTTATTATAAATATTGAATAATAATATTAATATAATTTTGGCAAATGAAGGTAAAAGACGGTAACAAAAACTATTATCGTTCTACATTTTATTGCATATAGTTCGGGAGCACAATGTACAAAAATAGCTCCCCGTGGCAATATTCATGAAGGGAAGGTGCCAGTGATGTCATTTTATCATTAAAATGATGTAGTTCAATAATTTGTATGGTGGCACCGTCACAGATTTTGCGTTTGTTTAGAGTGCGGCAAACAAGATGGTCGCCTTAGCAATACGAACAATGTGCATTTTGAATCCACCTCTGGTTTATCCCCTCCAATTAGGTTGCCAAATTGTTACGGATTGGTTTTATCCTGTTATGACTTTGCTTTCGAAAAACTCAAGCTACCCAAGACTAAAAACTGGCAACGCCGGTTTTGTGAAACAAGCGGAACACACGCTGCAATCTATGGACACACCAATTTTAATTTTTTCAGAAGCACACAAAATATGAAAGTTGACATGTCCGAGAGGAAAGTCAGGAAAGTGTTAATTTGAGAATAACAGGGCCAGAAGATTGTTTCTTATTTAGCCAATGGCAACTTTAACAGTAAATATTTTGAGAACTAATCATTCGATTTTCAAAAAAAAACACGCAGTTGTTACGAGACGAGAATCAAAATACCTTCAAAACAAGGTATACCTTGACCCATCTTCCCTATCTAAAAAAGTGGGGTGGAAGTTACCCCACTCAGGGGGTGCACCCTAGCGAAATACCGATGGGGTCAAAAAAAATTCCCCTTGAATACAAGAATGACGTGTCTAAGCATTTTTTTTTTAAATCGACCTTACAATACCCTTAAACGTGTCTGTTTCAATGTTCGTGGAACACCCTGTATGTTGTAAACGAGTTGCACCCATGTGCATATATTCATTATGTTGGCCCAGTAAATGATGGGTTCAGACGGGAAGGAGGGTCTTGTTTACACCTCTGATGCATCTCCACCATGACTCCCCTATTACAGTGCTCAATGTTTACTGCGAAACAAGCCCTTGGAGATAAGTTACCCCCCACTAGAGGTTCCCTTGTACACGCAATTAAGAAAGCTAACCCTTAAGCATTTGTGTGGTCAAAAGTTGGACCCGGCTGGTGTGTGGTGTTCATCACCATGTAAATGTTTAACAAACAATATGCCTTGCACAGAAATATGTACCTATTTGTAATGTGGACCTTTCAACTTGTGATAATTTGTATCCTCCTGATTTTGCCGACGGAGATAGTGATGAAGATGATGGTGATGAGGCTAATTCGTAATTCTATTGAAATTTATATTACCTAAATTTCTTCAAATACATAAACTAATATAACGTAGACCATATTTTCTTTTGATAAAAAAAGAGTAACACCAACAATATTTTTCAATGTGTTCACTTCAAATCCAACCAGCACATTAGTTATATTGCTATGGTTGCCATTTTGTTTGACGTATTCCAAACAAACGCAACACTTGTCCGGTGTTACCATTCAAATGATTGAACTACATCATTTTTCTGATAAAACGACACCACATGCCTTCCCTTCATTAACTTTCCCACGGGACACACAATGCTTCCGTACTAATAGTCGCAAAACAATAAAAACAACTATTATTCTTGTTGAGATTGAATTAGTTGAATAAATAATGTAGAGCTTTGAACAAACAAAAATATTCTCACAATATTA